CCGGAAAGTTGTTTGGCGTATTATTTATTATGATGACAAAGGTATTTGTTGAATCTACCTATTTATAAAGCTGAATGTTATAATACAGTAACATATAGTGTTTATATCAACTGAAGTTATTCAAATACTGTTAGTGGTTTAATAATTCGTAGTGGTATGGGCAAAAATAAATTGCAGATGATTTACAAATATCTTTCACTACAAATACAACATAAAATATATATTTTTTCCATTTATATTAAAAAATGTCGTTAGACAAAATTTGCAACTATGGTATAAAATGACCAACAAATTCTGAAGTAATAAATGAGATTTCTATTTTTGGGAGTTTTATTTCGTGTTATACTTCCGAAATGCCCTATACTTACAAATAGGAGACATACGCAGATACACAAAAATCCGTGTGTTAAATTTTTTTCAATAAAATCAGGATTTATTGAAGTTCATAATGTGAAATCTAGTATGTGAAAAGGTCGATTATATTGTAACAGGAATAATGGTCAGTGATTTAATTTTCTTTTGCAAACAAATTCAATAGAAAACTGTTATGACTATCAGCAGTTCTTACTGACTGAATTTACTGACTCTGAAATAATTTGTTTGCGTGTGACAGTGTTACTTTCTATTTGTCTGGAAGAAACGCGCGTAAGTTTTTCGGTTTCTGGAAAATAGTTTGCAGTAAGGAATACGATAAAAATGAAGTAATTTGGACTTTTCTATTGTTAGTACAGCGCAGGTTCTGCCTTAATTTTTCCATATGTGCTTAGAATGATCATTTTTATTTTTAGAACTGTTGAAAACTCGATGACATGAAGAAATAATCGTATACAACATTATCATTTGAGCGATATACTTAAAAGACTAGACTGATCTCCCAATCTCTCATTTTTTTCTTCCTTCTCTCCAAAAGGCCGGATTAAACTTGACTCTTAACATTTACTATCAAATCAAAGTTCCACTTCCATATTTCCAATTGTCATAAATTACATACTACTTTCGTTGATTTATGACAATCCTGGCTAGAGACCCGAACGGTACATATTACGTTATAATCACTTTTTTTTAGAAAAATTGTAACAAACAAGCAAGCGAATCTTAATTTTATTTAAAGATACTTAGATAGGTTAAAAATTCAGGAAGTATCAGAATGTTCAGTAGCTGTAGCAGTGAAATCAAGACAAAATTATTTTCGGATCATATAGATCAGAGCATCGGGATTAAAAGAAATCTGAGTTTATATTATCCTAATTCAATTATAGCAACAAACGTACTATAATAAACTTTATGTTCTTTTACGTTAAATATCGTATTATCTACAGATTTCAAACTTCTCCTCATACCACAGCAGAGCAATTGCTGAGCGCATTGGGTACGTTTCTCAAAGTTAACTTGTCATGATTGCAATGGCAGTCACTTCCTTTACTTAGACAAGAACATCCTCTCTCAATTGGACCGACCGATGTAGTAAGATCTCGTTTTAGGGCAAAACACATTGAATAGTCCCCGCTCGTTACTTTACTGCAGTCGGCGAGCTTATTCACTGCCGTAGAATAACAAAAGCAACCAGAAGGCTATTAAACTTCCAGCGGAGTCCGCAACTACATGTAGAGTGCGCGGGGGCTACCGTCTCCCTGACCACCCACCGCTCCCATCCACCCACACAGCTCGCGCGCGCCCCTCCTCCCACACACACTGCTCTCGTCCGCCCACACACGCACACACCGCTCTCGTCTGCCCACACACACACACACACACCGCTCTCGCCCACACACACAGCGCCCTCGTACGCCCCCCCACACACACGCACACCGTTCTCGCTCGCCCACACACACACCGTTCTCGTCCGCCCATACACACACACCACTCACGACCGCCCACACACACCACTCTCATCCGCCCACACACACACCGCTCTCGCCCACACACACAACGCCCTCGTACGCCCACACACACACACACACACACACACCGTTCTCGCTCGCCCACACACACCGTTCTCGTCCGCCCGTACACACACGCCACTCACGACCGCCCACACACACCACTCTCATCCGCCCACACACACACACACATCGCTCTCGCCCGCCCCCTATGCACACCGCTCCCACTCGTCCACACACCGCTCTCACCCGCCCACACACCGACCCAGCTCCCCATCCTCTTTTTCTATCTCTACACCGTTTCTTCCGACTCACATTCCATTCCCCACACTCCATACGTCTCACCCACTCACCTCTTCCACCCGCTCTCTCACATCTCCCACTCAACATACCACTTCTGCCAGAACAATCTCCGCCCCGCCCCGCCCGCCCTCCAACGTAAGGCATTCTGGAATCGGTGCGAAGGCCAGTAACGCGTCGGCGGCTGGCGGCGGCAGGACAGAGTGCGGGAACCGACGCCGAGCGCAAAGGGGCCTTTGACAAATAAATCACATCGGCCTTTTGTTGTTTGAAACAATTAGAACCCGTGTCCTCCTCGTGCCGGGCGTGACTTTTCATTCTTGTGTGGCGCCGCGCGCGCCGCGCAGGGGGCGGCGGCGCCGAGCGCTGGGCGAAAGCGGCGCTTTTTTGGCGCGATGTCAAATGACGGCAAGCGCCTGTGAGGTGCGGCACGGCCGACCGTGCATGATTATAATGCAGTTGATAAACTGGAGTTGCGTTATTTTATGCTCGCGCGCAGCGTGGGCGGCGCCGGGAACGAGTGGGGGTGGGCGTGGGGGCGGGGGCCAGCGCCGCGTATCTCGGTGATTAGGGCGGCGTGCTGTGTCGGTCGCTGTGAATGGGCTCGCCATGACACGCCGTTTACCCGGTTGGTCCCAACCCCACCGACCCGACACCCTGCGGACTGACGGTCGCCACCCGCACGCCGCGCCGCGTTGTTTCGGCGGTTGGAAAAGGCGCGATTGGTTTCGAGTAGCCGAATGAGCTCCCGGGAGATCTTATCTCTATACATTGTCGTTATTATCACGTACGAAGGGCCAAACCGTTTTAAGCATATTATTTTTCTTTGCAAATTAATCTAAAAAAAATAATCCTATGCAAAAAAATCTATATGTTTTGAAAATCACGTATTTATGAACGTACGTAGTGTCAAATCGCTTTTGTGACGTTTTTTATTGGTAACTATTCATTTTGACGTTTGTAAAATGCAGAAAATAACTCTTTCTTCTATGATGCTTTTTGCATGCCTCTCAATAAAAAAAATATACTTCATAAACATTGTTTTTCGGTTCTAACCTTTTTGTTACATACAATCATGAATCTTTACTGTACACAATATTGTGAATGATAAGTTGTATAAACGTTTTTAGTCCTATACATTTTTGAGACTGATTAACCGCCGCTGCTGTGGATGGCTAGTGGAACCCTCTGGGAATAACTGAAGGCCTTCGTGGGTAAAACGACTGTTTGAGAGGGCGGCGCGTGTGTAGATGACGGGATGTTATAGTGGGGGTAAGGTCCCAACGGGGCGTTGAAAACAAATTTGGGCGCTCGATTCCAAACGGGGTTCTACGAACGTGTCATCAAGTTACTGGCGAGCGCGCGCGGCACAACTCAATTTGGAGCCTTGTTCGCGGGAAGAGAGGCGGATTTGAAACCTATTTTGAGCGCGACCTAACAGAGGCGTATCTCGTCTCCATCCAGCCGAAGGGGTTTCGATCAATGCGTCAAATTCTGGGAAACGTGTAATTTAAAAAAAAAGGATGTAAAGAGGTGTAATTTAAACATGTCCAGCTACGATTAATACACTGGTATTAGAAGTTAAAAACATCCCCGAAACACGCTTTGTTTTTCCAATTTTTGTGGGAAAATGCAATTTTGTTAAAATAGATTTCCTAGCAAGGAACCAAGATAGGCATGTGCACAAGGGTATATTCAGTTCAAAATTTTTATGACATTCCCAGATTTGTTTTTTTCCTGTGGTGACAGTACAGTAACAGAAGCCCAATGCAAACATTGCCCGATCTTTTCACATGATATAACCATTGTTTTACAAATTATTAGTATAGAGATAAAGTGACTGGATGCAAGGATAATAAACCTTAGCTCAAAAACAGTATTTATATGTTTGGAATTGAACTTCAGTAAATTCTTTTTAAATTCACCTAGAGTGGAGTTGAACTTTTATCGTCTAAAAAAGGTTCACGGATACGAGAGTCAACGGCAGCAAAAATGTTTTTCCGATATATTTCTCGTTTTGTGTCGCGTAGGTCCTCCCATTGAGCTGATCCTTTTGCTACTATTCTTTTCAGTGTCTATTATATGGTCAACAAAAATGTTCCATTTGAAATGTTAAAGGTAGTGAACTAACAACTGGAGAAATGACGTTGAAAATTATCTTGAGTTGCGAGGTTTCACAAAAAAGGTTATTTGTGTTCCCTTTTGCTTTGTTCACCAAAATTGCTTTAACAAAAGAATCATAGTATCTCAAGGATACGAAAATAAACCAAGAATCCTAGAAATCATTGAAGTACGAAATACTTGATAGTACTTGGAAGAGTAGCATTTTAAATTCTGTTAAATAAAGTAAATGCAGGTTTATATTTTGATGCGCTTTGTATTTTCTTTTTTTTTCTTACAGGTGAATAATGTTTGAATCGCAGTGCATTCATATGAAATGTGAAGAACCAAAGAAATCGAGATAAGTGTCTTTAGAGTAGTTTTGTTTTTTATTCTATAACTTCATCTTCTTGGTTCTTCAGACTAGAATACCTTATCATCTATATTCCGGTTAATTACGTTGTCGCGTTATGCTTAATATGAAAATCATACTGCTCAAGAACCACACAATTTGTGTAATTAATTATTTATCAAAATCCACCAGGACAGGTGGCACAGAGCATCAACAAGGGACAAATTCAGTTAGCAGATGACGCGCTTGAATCACTAATCAATTGTATAAACCAATTGGCCAATTGTATAAACTTTTGGAAACTTTAATTACTTTTCTGTGAATTTTCTACAAAGAAATGAATTATAAATCCAAGAGAGTAACCTAGTACCCTAAACGATATTCATATTGCATTTAATGTATAATTAGTTATTTTCTCTCTCCTCAAGTCTCTGCATGAAGATTATTATTTTAATCAGTTTTTACAAGATATTTCCTTCATTATTTTTAACGTAAATTTCAAATTATTTATAGGAATTCCTTGATTTGAGGTAAACGTTTGAGCAAAATAATGCTGCTGTAATAATATCACCTTTCTTTTTTACAAAATATGAGTTTGTATTCAATGTATTATGCATTTTGTTTCCCATAAATTGTCTGGAATTATAATGGATAATTAGTGTACATCACATTTTAATACATAATTCAATGAAAAGCGATACATGACGAAAATAAGATGCGTCATGCATCTTCTTCTTACAAAAGTGCTGCACCTATTGAAGCCACCTTCCTTTCTAGCGCGCAAGGTTTTTGTTACCGTATATTGGATACCATATCTAAAGCTGGCTTTACACTTGCAAGAACATGGCGAGCAATATTATTTCGCAAGAAAAGTTGCCTATGTAAACATTACGGCAATAAATATTTCTGATGTTGGCAATATTTCTTGCTAGATATTCCGGTCGTAATGTAACCCGTGTGTTTCCACCCCTCGAATAATATTGCCGATTGGTTGCTGGGCCTAGAATTGATTGAAGTATGAAGCAAGATATTGCTGGAAGAAGCCAATGACCGGCGGTCACTTGCGCAGGAATACGCTACGGGAGGTACGTATTACGGTAAAATTTCCATTTTAAATATACAATTGAGCCGTGTGAAAAAGGTTTACGAACAATAAAAATAGTAATAAATATTCACTCATGGTTGATTATCAATGTCAAGATTTTATTCAGCCATAGATGCCCCTGATTATTGATTTTTTACGTTAAGAATAAGTTATACTCTAATTTAAATAAATTTTTTAAGATTTAACTCTATAGTATCACCTCAGTTGTAAGAAAATTGATATTTTAAAACTTTTACCGAATTAGTAAGTGAACATTTTATCAAAAGAAAATTACTTTGCTCTCACGGGAATCGAAAGTCCACGAAATCATTTTGTTTTTGAAAGTATTCCAAACACTTCTTCCTACATTCGCACAAGCCCGCTTTTCCTTCCTTCTTAAATTGCAGTCACACGTCCTAACATCGTGGCGTTTATTTCATGCTATTCATTTAGCACAATAGTGCGATCGTAAGTATCTTTCTGCCTTCCATAGTTATGTCGGGAAGTGAGTGAGGTATCGACCTCACTTAATTCATGCGCCATTTTCCTCGCGCCGTCACGAAAAACACGGCAACAAATAGTCCCTAATGTAACGATCGGCAATATCTTGCCGGAAAGGTTTTGGCCTCAGATCTTTTCTGGCATAATATTGCCCCTCCTTCTCTTGCTAAATGTAAAGATTAACGCAAGAAGGCAGAAACAATTGAGGAAAGATATTGGGAACCGTATTGCTAATGTAAGGCCAGCATAAGGTTTATCGAACTGTGTGCATTTTCGATATTCTGGGTCTTGCTCCTCGCCCTCGTTCTCTGTTTCTTCCTAGAGGTTAATATCGAAGGATATGTTTGATCTATCTACCGTCCTTATTCGTGTGACGTGGCGGTACTATTGCAGACGATCCTTTTATTCTATCTGAAAGTAGAGTCAGTATTGAGATATCATCGTGAATATAAATGCTTTGATACGGAATGCCAAACACGTATTACATATGAGAGCTCAGAGAGAATGATTAATTGTGTTGCTACGATGACATATATCGTTGCGATGGGCAGCCGTTTTTTGTGAGAGTTATTATGCGGTAAAGTGGATGCCGCAACATGTAGCATTTAGTACGAATTACATGAAATTACTACGTCAGGCTTGAAAATGTTCGAGCAATGTTGTAACTCATATTTTTAGCAAGATAAAATTGGACGCATACAAAGTCCACTTATCCTTTAAGAAGTACGGATTATATTTCAGCAGCACTTCAGTTTTATTTCTCAGAAAGGCGATCTGAGAGATAGCCACCTTCTATTCCCATCCGCCACCACAGAACCCAATTACAGGAATGAATCCCCTTTTCACCAGCCCTCGCGAAAAACGTTCGAAGTTCTAATTTCTGCCCCCGCCCCTCCCCGGCACAGGGCGCTCTCCCCGAGCAGCGGCGGCCAAGAGTTCCCGATACATTTAATCGGAGGTACGCTCCCGAAATGAGACGTGAAATTGTAATTATGCGCGCAAGTCTCGACCGGATTTCGTAAAGGAACGCCAGGGACTTAGCGGCAGGTAAAGTTGGCGGCTGCGGTTGGCAGCGCTGGGCTGGCTGACGTGCGGAGGGGCACTTCCGGACTTGCCGAAATTGGTTCTCAGATTTATGGCTTCATTTGAAAAGTTTGTGGAAATGAATTATTAATAATATATATCTCTCTTGTTAGAAGTATCTACGGCAGAAAGTTCCTCCCCGCAATAAGACGGGCCGGTTTAATAATGTCTGCCGGAGGAGGGGGAGGGGAGGGAAGA